AACAAATAAAAACACCAAGTTTTGTCATGCCAGCATGTGTGGAAGTATTTAAAACAAGCGTGTTACAACTAGCCCCGCGTTACTTTGTGCCCCGCGCTCCACTACGCACTTTCATTGCTGAAGCTCAACTCTGCGTAACCAGAGAATGAACCTCATTGGTTCTCACACTCACTCATCAAACAAACATGCTCGAGCTTCCGTTGATCATTAGCCTATATGTTTGAGTTGATGAATGTTTGAGAATAAAAGCCTAAATTCAATCTGTTCATCATATAAAGCACTTGAGTCTCTTCATAAAATTTAGACTAAACCACTCGATTCAAAAGGATTAGTTTTACGATCTCTTTATGAACTTTGAAGCATCGAACTGCTAGTTGTGTAGCTGTCAATGACAAACATCTCTCAGATTTCTTCAAAAAGATCTTAAACAAAAGTAATATTGAGTAGCCTAATTAAAAACAGAATTTCCAATTTTGGTTGAACTAACACTTTATTGTTTTACTCATACTAAATAAATATAAGCTCATATGCACTTCTTGTTCTACACCTAAGAGACATATCAGTGAAAAAAGAATCAGTTGATTTGTGAAGACAGCAATCACATGTTTATTTTCTCAAATAAAAATAAAACACCTCGTAAATTCCTACAAACACTCAAGTCTCAGTTAAGCTCAAGCTTCAAAGAGGGCAGAAGTATCCATCAAAAAGAGCTCTTCGATATATGAACGGATAAATAAAATAAGTAAAGTTAAATAGGCAATGCCTACCTGCACTGGATGTGCTGGTTTCGTCCTCGTCTCATATTTAACACATCTGCGATTCAGCAACTACACGCTAAAGCACTCACATTAGTGTAAAGTAGCCTCGTTGACAAGTTTAGCGTGAGCAAGGGCAAAACACACACGAGACAGTACCATCAATGGCCTATCGATGGCGATATCACTTCTTCTGTAGCGGAAATAAACTGCTAAATGTAACGAGGTACAAATGTATTGTAGAGTACGCATACTTATTCAAAAATGTAGTCAAGTAGAGAGTAAAGTTGCTAATATCGTTTGATACTGACTTACAAAAAGATCTTTAAGTAAAGTAACTAGTTACATTTACTCAAATAGGCTACTTTGTAGTACAGCACAACAACTGATATTGTTTAGACACCGAATTAAGGAAAAAAACAACAACAAATCAACAAATAGTCTATATAAATATATCACTAACTAAACACGTTTTTTTAAAAAAATAAATAAATAAATAATAATTCATAATAAAATAGCAACATTTTATGTACAATTTGAATATATTCATGGTGATGCCTAAGCATGATCTTTTTTGTCACACTAACAAACAAGCTAAGATAACGTTTCTCTTTTTTCTCTGTGTAGCCTAGATATAAGAAGTGTGAGAAAAGTCAAGAAGTTTCATGCCATTTAGATGAAGGGAACATGTTTGAAATGAGCAAATCATTTAGAGTCGCCCATAAACCCCAACAGCGCATTAGGTTTGGGGAAAAAAACACACTTCCGACGTATTCAGGTGTGACAAAGTCCTAATTTACCCCTGATGGCAGTGTAGGCCCCTGTGTTTGTTTGGTTTATATTATTTCTGTAAATGTTTGTTTCTCATTATTTGGTAACTTTTTTCTAGTCTGAGGTGCACATTAGACTGATAAAAAAACACCAGGTTTATTTCATTATTTTTGTTATTTGGGATTTACATAAAGTTTTACCCTCATTTGCAAAACTTACCTTCTGGGTTCATGTTTGCAGCATTGTTTCCGGGGGTGTCTAAGAGGACGCGCGGCCTTCCTGTTCCTCCTTTTATGGCTTATGCCATCCCAAAGAATTCTGGGTAGTGTAGGCATAGTCCATTTCTCAATGGGAGCAGGGGGTTATTGTTTCATGTTTTATTGTGTTTATGTTTATTGTATGTAGAAATGTATTTGTTTATTATTTGTATTATTTTCCTTGTATGATTTTAGGTAGATGTGTTTTGAATATTATTTTCATTTTCAGTATAGTAGCCTATGTGAACATTATTTAAATTCCCTACTACTGTAAAATGGTTGACCCTTTCAGTATAAAGGAATGTATGTTTAAGGAGGGTCACTCACCTTGAGTGGTTTTATGTTATTTTTTTATTATGATATTCTATATTTGGAAGTCAATAAAGATTTCACTGACTGCAAGCAGTGTCTCCTGCCTTTGCTCTGGTCACGTCTTCAAATCAGGGAAACAGATTTCTTAGATTTCTTTAAAGAATCAAAATGTACATACTAAATCTTTTTTACAAAGCAGCCATTGCTTTCAAGGAAATTCAGTTTTCTATGCACTCACATGTCATGAAATGCACATGCTTTCACAACCTCACATACTGTATGCTGATTGTTTTGTTATTAATATATTTTGCATATTATGTTTTCAACAAAGCTATGTGTTATTAAGTTAATATTTTTTTATTATTATTATAAATTGTTTTGTTACTTATTTGTGGAGACCAGATATATAAAAAATTTAGAGGGGGCTATTTGTTTTTAATGACTCTACACGTTTGATGAAAGAAACCATCAAATTATGAGGGATATATATATATATATATATATATATATATATATATATATATATATATGAAGAGTTCAGATGCAAAAGCCTCTAAATGCCATTTTAAATTTTCTTCTTTAATGATGATTTTTATCAAACTTGTATATTTAAGTTCAGTAATTTCACTTAAATAACAATTAATAGGTAATTATCATTGCCATTTAAGTGAAATTACTGAACTTAAATATACAAGTTTGATAAAAATTATCATTAAAGAAGAAAATTTAAAATGGCATTTAGAGGCTTTTGCATCTGAACTCTTCATATATATATATATATATATATGATATTTTAATTAAGAGGGAAAAACAAGGAATTTATCAGACAAAATTAATTGGAAAAAAGTCATTTTATTTTACAATGCAAAAACAATTCAAATAAAATTGATTACAACATAATCAGTTATTAATATTTCATTGGTTCTCTCTTGTTTTTGCATGTGTTCATAAATTTCTTTATATGAAAGCCTGGCCATTATTTCCGCACAATTTGGCACGTTTCATTGCGTTATCACAAATAAAACAATCGAATCCTATACGCAATATGCTTTCAAAATCACATTTTTTATAATATTTGTATAAAGGGTAATTAGGCCACTAATAATAATAGCAGTGTAATAATTACTCTTGATGATTATTTTAGCATTAACATTTAGAGCATTTATTTGCATTAAGAAAATAATGCCGCTGCTGTTCAGTTCTTTATTTTTTAGTAGTCTGTGTCATGTTGTATACACTCTAAAAAAATGCTGGATTGTTTCAACCCAAATTTGGGTCAAATATGGACAAACCCAAATGTTCGGTTAAAAATGCAATAAAAAAATTACAGTTGAAAGTGAAAGTTGAAGTTTTAACCCAACATTTGGGTTTGTCCATTTTTGACCCAAAGTAGGGTTAAAACAACCCAGCATTGTTTAGAGTGTATATATGTTTTAGATGTTTTCTAATGATATTTAATGCTTGAAACTGTTTACATTTGTCACATTTGAAGACAGCCTAAGTAATCGACAGGAACCTGAGTGAAGCAGAATTTAGCCAGTCAGTTTATCTCTGATCTTTGCACAGGATGCAGGTTTTAATCTTGAGAAATGATCGTTCAGGATTAGTGAATACGCACAGATCTGCATAAATCTGTGCTTGCTCAGGCTAAACAAACCTCGGGATGTTTCCTGGAACTCCACCGAAGCCAAACATTACACATTTAAATGGAAACGTATCAGTTTTACAGAATTTAAGTGACGTTCTTAAAGAAGATTAAGGCTATGATGTTAAGGAAATAGCCACGTTAGTTACAATATATCAATAATAATTAATTTTACTGTTATTATGTTATATACTCACATGCATATGCATTTGTTTATGATACAATAAACATGGAAATATGCTAACATTTTCTTCTATTTGTTATATTGTATTAGTATCACATTCAGACATGAAATGCAATTTTAAAATTAAAACAAAGTACTCAATGCATCAAGCATCATCCCACCACAAGTTTTACAGTGCAACACCTGAGGCTGAATTTGATTTGAAGGTTTTATCCCAAAAGCTGACATTTACTGCCCTCTAGTGTGTAACATTTTATATTATCAAAAGGTTATAAGGTATATGCTCTTATTTCACGTTTTAATATGGTAAATCAAAGTTGCACGGATATATACACAATTTCACTAATCATGAAATACTTTCTCAACAAAACGTTTAACCTTTATTGGTATCTAACATCATTATCTGTTTTTCCAAATCAATGTTTTTAATGAAGCAAATCAATTAAATAATGAAAAAAGGTATAATAATAGGGCTGTTCACATCCCGAAAGCATCCAGTACAGACACGAGCCATCTTAAATGTCTTCATCTACATGCTTCGCCTGACAGACACACAAATACACAGACATAGACCATCAGCTCATGAAAATCAAACATGAAATATATAAATATATTATTGCTTTCAAAGTTACAGTAACATGGTGACAAACTCATTCCAGACCCTGGAGCAGGAAACTATATCATTAATTTTAAGTCCACAAAACAACAACAGTAAAAGCAACAATGTGTTCTTCTCACGATATGAAGCCTATTTTTCATTGTTTTATGTGTGTTTTTTAAATCCCAACAAATAAAAGTAAACCTACTATAAGATATATTCACTAGTAGGAAGTGACAACTAGCGCCAATCTTATCTCGTTTGAAATGACAATATATTTATAATACTCTGACCACTAGATGTCACCAGAAACACATCATTAATTTAAGTGCACTTACTTTACGCTTGCCACACCGTCTGATGCGGTTACCTACAGGAACAGACATTCATTAGCCTACACATTACATGAGTGATGTTACATGACTCATCATACGACACAAACACACACACACTTACCTGTCAGGAGAAGGATAGACAGCACCACAATGACCCCTGCAAACACCAGGCCTCCAATCCGCAGAGTCTCATAGTCTGTGAATCAAAGCCAGAACAGCTTCTAAATACAGATATTCTGATGAAGGAATAGCCTACAGTACATGACGCATACATGACGCGTTGTTCTCTGTGTGAATGGGCATATATTCAGATTTGTAGAATTCATAAGATCTTATTCTGGGTATGACAGTAGGCCTAATAAGAATATTCCCCTATTAATTAGCCTATAATTTTATTGTTCACATAAAACACAATGAATTATTCAAGATTGTTCAGACTTACCATAGACAAAGGCTGCATCAGGGTCTACTTTAGGCTGGGCTGGGTAACACACAGAGAGAGAGAGAGAGAGAGAGAGAATAAAATACAATTAAAATGTGATGTTATTTGAAATTAAATAAATAAGTGAAGATATCCTCTACTTTTAAAGCTATGGATGGATGAGACATAGTTTCATTGTCTCTGCACCTTGTTAACAACGCATTCTCACCCCAAGGCGTCACCTTTGACCATGCTTCAATATTTGACGTTTTAGGCGCCCTTCGTCATCTAACTTGTTACAATCCGATAAACTCAGAACAATATGTGTGTTCCAATATAAATACCACTTTAAAAAAAAAAAAACAACAGAATATTTGTTCATTTTTTTTCAAACTCTGCAAAAAGTGTTTAAATATTTATCGTGAATTTTGCATATATAAAATGAAATTAGCCAATATAGCCAGACAATAGAGTTTTATATATTCTATAATTTTATACATTTTATAAAAAAAAAATACAAATTCATTTGAGATGTGCTTTTTGTCCCCCCCAAGTTAAAAGTGCTCACAGTTTTAGAAACACTCAGATTTATATAATTAGCCATATTTTGGCTACAAATACATCATTAGTTTAGTACCATAGCCATAATACTGTGTTTGTTCAACGCGTTCTCATCCCAAAGTGCCATATAGGACGCTTTTGCAAAAGCGTAAATATCCAACGCACATGGCACCCTTTAACGTCTAATGAGACGCTTCGGTTAATGGTTAAGTTTAGGTATGGTGTAGGGTAAGGGTTAGACCACTAGGGGGCGCCTTCTGCCCAAATATATCTGCGTCTCATTTCACGTTAAAGGGTGCCATGTGCGTTGGATATTCTCACTCCCAAGGCGTCACCAAACTGACGCCTTGGGAAGCATTTGACCATGCTTCAATATAGGATCGCGTGTACCCTACCCCCACCCCATACCTAAACCTAACCGCGTCCTCTAACTGACGCTTTCCTTTAGCGTCAGTTAGATGACGCCGTAGGATCGCGTCATGTAATTGACGCTAAAGGGCGCCTAAAACGTCAAATATTGAAGCATGGTCAAAGGTGACGCCTTGGGGTGAGAATGGGTTGTTTAATAACACAGCACCTCTGAGACAATAGACACAGTTTCACAATGGAGGGCTTACTTTTATAGACAGCATTCTCTCTCCAGCTCTCATTACCTGGAGATAAGGAGAGGAGAAAATTCTGAAACAACGAGACTCACCTGCTCCAGAGGACATGGCTGCTCTTTCTGTGGGTCACGGTCCGGAATGATAAAACTGCCAAAGTAAATTATAATGAGGCATTATAAATAATCCAACAGTCCTCATTTAACGACTAAAAATTTTATTTGTGCATCAGAAGTACAGATTCTAGTTAAAATATTTAATCTTTAAAATCTTCAATCCACTGACCCCTCATATCCAAAGAGCCATAACTCCATAACCAAAAAGAAAAGGGTTATTTGCGGACTCTCAGGCATTACTCTCAATTCAGCTCCTTCAGGCTTTCTTAAGATAGCACTCAAATTGATTCTCTGTGTTTCGTTCCAATCCATATCTCTGACTGTAATGATTAACCCATGCTGCTTTGAAGAGAAAGTGACTCATAAAGCCTCAGTCAGGGCAGTTTGCTTTTCAATTCTGCATGCAGATCTTGTCAGACAAACACAAACTTTGTGTCCATGTTAACTTTTTTCTGTAATGCATGGTGCTAGTTTATTATTTGAACCAGCAGCATTATCACAATTAATTATTGACTAGTAACATGTACAACTTTGTAAAATGGAATGTTACTCAAAATGTCAACTTGATAAGAAGTTATTAATTGCAATTCATGCAGGGATTTTTACATGCTAACTGTTTTACTGTAACATTCAATAAGTTAAAACATTTTTTTAAACAATAAGATGAGATTTGTTTTGTTCAAAACGTTACTCCATCAAATTGACCTCAAAAATCGATTTAATTCAAAATGATTATTTGTTTTTCCCTAGTTTTAAACCATTAAAAAAATAGTTTATAGTATTATATTTTGTAATGGTTTACACTGACCCAAAAATTACATGTTCACACAATAAAATCACTGTAAAAAAAAGAAAAAAAGAAAAAGAAAATTGCTGCCTTAAATTTTAAAGTATAATCAACTTAACTGTTTAAGTCATTTCAACTTAAATTGTAAAACACCAACTTAAAAAAATTATATTGTCTTAAGTTAAAAAATGCTTAACTTATTTGATGAGTTAAAACAATGTAAAAACACATGTTGTTATAACTTACTGATCATATAATTTGATCATTTTGGACAATTTTTTTTTCTGTACTTCTCCAAATATGTACATTACTTTTGATCCCACTGTAAAAAATTTTTTTTCATGATTTGCCATCACATTTTTTCTTTTGTCAAATCAACTTAGATAATTTATGTAGTTCAGATAAAATAATATTTTGAGTTTCCGGTGATTAAATTAATCTCCTTCATTTTTTCCATTTCAATGAACTTAAAATTAAGGCAACCAGATTACTTATTTTTTTAAGTTAAACCATCAATATTTTTTTTACAGTGTGTGAAAATAGGCTAATAATAAAAAGCAGATAGATGAACCTTCACAAAAATACATTATAGTCTGGTCAGGAAAACTTGAGAGGAATAAGCCTCATATTTTAAAGTATTTTTAGGCCCACATAGTAGTAATTTCAATAGGACAAGCGCATGAACACGTAACCTAAACATGTCCTCAGTTGTCTCATCAAGAGCAATAAACCAATGAAAACGTGTTCATTTCAAATTCCACCATTTTAGAAATTCTGATGCATAACATTCAGGAAAAAAGTGCAGGAGTCATTGCCATCTCAGCTCACCTGTACTGCGGAAAGCTCCTCTTCCTTCTGAGGTCTTGTCTAATGTGAAAGTGTGCCTTTAGTCCAGGTGTATTTCACCCCTCTACCCCTCCCTGCCTCCCAGACCAAGCATTTGTAAATCTGGCTGCCACACCAGTCTTTGAAACACATTTATTAGCCCAATAAACATGGCCTTCAACCTATGATAAAACACCATTGAGCCCAACCTTTGGAATCATCGCCCAAGGGAAGTCCAATTACAGCAGTGTAAAACACTGGGAGTGATCGTGGCCACATTGTCTTAACTTTGATGTGACGGACTGTAGAGTTTTCCGAGCTGTCGATAATTGACTTCCATGTCCTTTTTTCGATGATTACACGGGACAAGATGCTACAACGGTGTCAAATAGATCATTCTGATGGATAACCGAGTCCGAATGATCTTAAATAAAATTACACCTGACATATTGATCAGAGCTGCTTTTTTCTGGCAGGTGATGGATGACCTTTTTAAAGGGCGCGAGAAGAAAAGGAGAGATTGACTGATGCTTGGCGTCTCTATTCGGAGATAGAAAAAAAAGAAACTACACACTGATGGCTGTGTCTGAGAAAGACTTTATTAAATTATTTCGGAGCACAAAGAGTGGCCACACACAGAAGCTGCACAGATATGAGACGAATATGTTCAAAATTCCTCTCTAATAGCGAAGCATCTGTAGCGTTAGACTGTGTTCTTGAACAGCTACATGTGATTAATATTCTGTGAAACGCTTCTCTCTTTATGAACTCAGCCTACATTTTTTTATAACTCGTATGTGTTTACCACAGCAAGTGATGTGTGGAACAACACACTCACGTACGCAGACGCACACAAATGCAAAGGTTGGTCTCTTTAGACGCCCACATTTTGGTCACATTAAAATTATGAGTGATATTAAAGAGATAGTTCACCCAATAATCAATATTCTGTGATTGTTTACTCACTGTCATGTGATTTCAAATGACAAAATGATCACCTTTATATTCACCAGTTATTCCATTCATGATTGCTTACATTAAAAGATGTCGCAGAGTTGCAAGTTAAAAGTCTCTTTAAAGGAGTAGTTCACTTTTAAAAAAAACTTTTGCTGATAATTTACATTTACTCACCACCATGCCATTCAAGATGTCCACGTCTTTCTATCTTCAGTCGAAAAGAAATGAAGGTTTTTGATGAAAACATTACAGGATTTTCTCCATATAATGGACTTCAATGGGAACCAAACGGTTTAAGGTCCAAATGAGAGTTTCAGTGCAGCTTCAAAGGGCTTTAAACGACACCAGACGATGAATAAGGGTCTTAACTAGCGAAACGATCTGTAATTTAAAAAATAAAAAAGTTTAAGAACAAATCTTTTTTCGAGTCATGACTCGAAGGGTCCTATAGATAAGACCCTTATTCATCGTCTGGTGTCGTTACAGCCCTTGGAACAGTTTGCACTGAAACTCTCATTTGGACCTTGAACCGTTTGGTTCCCATTGAAGTCCATTATATGCAGAAAATCCTGGAATGTTTTCATCAAAAACCTTAATTTCTTTGCAACTGAAGAAAGAAAGACGTGGACATCTTGGATGACATGGGGATGAGTAAATTATCAGCAAAAGTTTTTTTAAAAGTGAACTACTCCTTTAAGACAAGTCATTTAACTCGGCGGCCATCTTGGAAACGCCTCTCACAGGCATGGAAGTGCAGCTCCCATCTTTTTGAATAGGGGACACATCAAATTCTCCAAAACTGTTTGCCAAGCTTACAATTCAATTTCATATTTGAAATCACTAATGAAATCTGACAACTATAGCCTGGGTTTCGACATTCTGCCTTGCTGCCTTGTCTGGATACCGTGAACCAAATTTTCCCCTGAAATAGGGAACCAATCACAGAACGGGGAGGGAGCACAGGCGCATTTGATAGACATTCGTAGCACCCAATAATACCAATAAACCACGCCTCAAATACGAGAAAATTAACATGTGGTTTCCAGACCACGATTCATTCTCAATGATACATGGTCTGGCGTCAGCCAGGCTAGACAACAACTATTCTGTTTCTAAACGGTCGAACCATGACAGAAAACTAAACTTCAAGCTAATGGCAGTTTCTAATGTGATGACTTTACCAAACGGTGATTGGCTCTTATTTAGAAGGCGGGACTAATTCTGCTATATTATATTGAGCGTTGCACTTAACCCCATACATGTAAAAAAAATACATGTGAAGCATCTTATGCAATTATATAGGATTTGAGAGCTATAGTAATGATTTAAGTTTCAGCCATTTCCTTACAAATTCCACATTATATGTGAAATATTTTTTGATAGCTACGTGCTTTTTTTTCTAGCTACATAGGCTATATCACAGTCCAAAAAGAAACAATAACAACTATAACTGGAAACAACAATAGACATTTTTGCTCTTCATAACTTCTGGATAGAAATAGCACAGACACAATGAAACTCTCTAGTGCACTTGTTTGACACTTGTGTTGATTATATCAAATGGAGTACACTTTGAAGGACCATGTGTGCATGCATATGCCAGTGTTCATGTTAAAACTGAAGTTTGAGTTGGAAAAGTGCTGCATGGACATTCTGCAAAATATCTCCTTTTGTGTTCTACATAAAGAAAATAATTTTCAATTAGCATGACGGTGAGTAGACAATGGCAAAATATGTGTTTTTTTTTTGTCTGCACTATCCCTTTAAGAAAGAGAATGCATAAGCTACAGACGAAGTGTGATGAAAAGCTAAAAGACACAGGTTAGCGGCACTATGGTGAAGGGATCTTCTCCTGCGGTCTCGTTCTCGAGGTTTAGACTGTGGGTCCGAATGAGGGCGCTGAGCCCGGCAGTGTTGCAGCTGATCAGAGGACGGCGAAACGGCGCCCCTTGTGGTACAGTGCTTTTACTGTTTTGTTTTTGTGCTTGATACGTGTAGAATGATGGGAAGATTGTCGGAGGCTCTATACAGTATCTATCCAATGGCAAACACACATGCACACGCTGTATATTCAAATATATATTCTGCATCAGATGTGAATCAATACTTATATTGAATACTTAAGTGTATTTAAATATGTCTGCTTATAATCTATACAATCTACAAGAAAAACAAAAAACACAGCAGGTGGGACACAAATGACAATAACAAGTGGTCACACCACCAATAACAAAATGATTAAAGAGGCAGTTCATCCAAAAATTTAAACTATAGTGTTTTTTTTTTTTTTTTGGTCCTTTTTTGAAGATTTAGTCATTATATAACAAGTGCTACATAGACAATCGTTTGTTTCCTTTTGTGTTCAACGTAAAAAATATAACTGCATACAGGTTTGGGATGAAATTTTTGGGTGAACTGTTCCTTTAATCCACACGCACAAGTTCAGTTGGGGAGGAACCAGAAACGTTAAGAATAATCTGCAGAAAGTGGCTAGTTTTGCTAAAACAACTCACTCGAGACGGGACTGTTGCAAAAGGGCACGGACGGAAAGACGGATACAGTTACTGTTCACGTGACAGGACTAGAGGTCTACATACAAGACACTGGCCCATTAAAAATCCGAGATATAGTCTCCTCCCCCACAAATCCCTGTCTCCTCTCTCTCCTTTCATAGCCATGGTCTGGAATCAGCTTCATCATCATCATTACCATCCTCAGCATCAGTGAAGTCGTTCAGCCACGGCTATGTGTTCAACAATACTGGGAAGAAATAAATCAGACATCACATACCCAGCTAAAAGGGAACGTTCTGAACTTTGGCTAACAGAGGTTCTATCTAAGTAATGAAAGACTTTAATTTCAGTAACATTAATAGGACATTTGTTCAAAGTTATAGTTTTTCTCAGCCCCTTTGGTTCTACTTGTTCAATCTCCAAGTCACTTGTGCACATTATAAAACCAATTTCTCATTCGTTTGAACAAATCGCAATTGCTTTAGTACATTCATAATATTCATTATGTGCAATTGTCTGCTGTATCCTACATTATCAGTCGCTAATGTCATGCTGATCAAAATATATTTTAATATATGTTTCCTTGTTGAAAAAAAAACTTTTAAGTTTTTCATAACTTAAAGGAGTAGTTCACTTTAAAAAAAACTTTTGCTGTTAATTTACTCACCCCTATGTCATCCAAGATGTCCATGTCTGTCTTTCTTCAGTCAAAAAGAAATAAACATTCCAGGATTTTCTCCATATAATGGACTTCAATGGGAACCAAAAGGTTCAAGGTCCAAATGACAGTTTCAATGCAGCATCAAAGGGCTTTAAATGACACCAGACGATGAATAAGGGTCTTATCTAGCGGAACGATCGCTCATTTAAAAAAATAAATAAGTTAAAAATAAATAAGTAAACAAATAAATAAGTTTTAGAACCACAAATGCTCGCCTTGCTCTGTTCTGTGATGAGCATTTATGACTCTCCTGTTCAAACTCGTTCATCAAAATGAACAAATCTTTTTCAGGTCATGACTCGAAGGGTCCTATATGAGACCCTTATTCATCGTCTGGTGTCGTTTAAAGCCCTTTGAAGCTGTACTGAAACTCTCATTTGGACCTTGAACCATTTGGTTCCCAGTGAAGTCCCTTATATGGAGAAAATCCTGGAATGTTTTCATCAAAAACCTTCATTTCTTTGCGACTAGAAAGAAAGACGTGGAGATCTGGGATGACGACATGGGGGTGAGTAAATTATCAGCAAAAGTTTTTTAAAAAGTGAACTACTCCTTTAACAGGAACAATAGAAAACTGTTCTTAGAATCTTTTTTATAACATCATATCTTAATGATAATCATAATGACACTCATAAGGAAAGTTGCTGTACCTGGTATGTTTCAGTTCTCTGCTTTAGGAGTCTCCTTGTCTTTACATAGAAGAATAACAGAGGAACACTAGTCAAAAATGTCCGGTCAAAAGATTACCAATATATTTTACAAAAGATGGTAAATATTACCCTTGGAGACAATGATGTTCTCTGCTTGAGCTTCTTCATCTCCTGGAGCCCTGAGACAGTATGAAGTGTAAAGAGAATTATAACTGGTGGCGTTTCTGTTCAAACACAAACGCATGAAACGTTTGTCAGAGGCTGGGTGAGACTAACCTGGGCTTCTGTTTGAGACTGCATCGGCATCTGCGGCCTGCAGGGTGCAAAACCAATTAGTACATATGAAGGAATGTCACACTTTTCAAACAACCTGGAGGGATTCATTTTGTGATAATGAATGGGATAATAGGGAATAGGAATATTAATCTCATACTAATGTTATCATTGAAACCTGCAATGTGAATGTGTCTTATTTATATTTCTGACACATACTCATGTGTCTAATTTCATGATAAAACATCTCATGCTCAGTTGAATAAAAGCACTGGTGTATTATTAATATCCATGAGGCAGCTCAGTTTAGCTATTGCACTCTGATCTCTTTTGTTTTACAGTACTTTCTGAGTGATTTCGTTTCTGAATGAAGATGAGTTATGACTTTTTAAACGAATTAAAGGGATAGTTCACTATGAAATTAATTTTTGATATGCTTTAGCTTACCTCAAGGGCATCCAAGATGTACGTGTCTGTTTCCGCAGTAGTTTCAATTTTGATGTTTTTAGGTCAAACCGTTCGTGTCTATGTCATATAATTGAGGTCTATGGTCACCACAGCCACGTCCAAGTGATTTGAGAGTGCGGGTGCTTTGCGGCTTACACGAAGTAAAAACGATATAAATACTGTTCGTTTTCTCACACAAACCGCTCGTATCTTGTCTTATGCCATCAATGTGTACTTACATTTACGAGTCATTAAATCATGTATAATTTGGACTTCTCTGTGCATGCTCTTTAAGGTGGTGACCATAGACCTCCATTATATGACTGATAGACATGAATGGTTTGAAAAATATCAAAATTAAAAATACTGCGGAAACAAAGACACCTACATCTTGGATGCCCTTGAGGTCAGCTAAAAAATACCAAAAATGTATTTCAAAGTGAACTATCCCTTTAAAAAAAGACACTTCTTACTGAGAATAAGGAGCATTCCGAGAGCGAACAGCACCACAGCAAACGCCAAACCGCAGATCCTCAAACTCTCGTAGTCTGGTAAAGAAATAAAGTTGTTTTTTTTTTTCCAAGAAATCTTTCAAGAAAGACTCAAGATTATGTGAAAAAAAAGTGATTTGCAGTTTGCAAAACCGGTTTACTTGAGACATTCTTGAGCGTCACAGGATATTCAAGGGTAAAAAAATTACAAATTAAATTTACATGCACCAATAAATAAAACAAACAAACAATAAAGCCTGGAATATGTATTATAAGAGTAAATAGGGTAAATTGATTTGACATACAGACAGACAGATAGACAGCAATCTGGGGTTAAGTTACCTTGTTTAATAAATTTTGTATCTTTAACCACTGGGTTACCACCATCCATCCTGGGCGTTAAGCTGAATTTAGTTTGTGTCAAACATAGCACCAGGCCAAAGAGCTTAACTCTAATATGTCTTCAGAATGCAGGTTTTTGCTTCAAGCTAACTCTTGGCGAGATGTTGAAATTGTGGCCTCGCTCAGAAGTGACTTGCCTCTAGCCACTTTCTAAAAGAGGCCAAACCTGTGAAGTGTTTTGAAGTGGTTGTTCATGTCTGGGCAGCCAGTGCTGAATAATCGGATTACTTTTTTTTCTCCAAATAACGCATTACTTTTAAATTCAAAACAAAACATCCGAGTTACTTTTCAAATACAAGGCAAGTTACTTTGTTTACCATGTTAAGATTCGCTTTTGGTGTGGCCAAAAATAGAACTTTTGTTTTTTGTTATTAAAAAAACAAACAAGCATGCCCAGCCCAGGTGACAAAAAGTAATGCTGTTACACATTACTTTACATAAAAATTAGGTATAAGTATCGCAATAAGTTACTTTTTTAGGGAGTAATGCAATACTGTAATACATTACTTTTAAAGTAACTTTTCCCAACACTACATGTGTGTCATATGGTGCAACAAAGAAGTTAAATGTTCTCAAAAGTATTGATTCTTACCGTATGCAAAGGGATCCACTTCCTTCTCCTTTCCATCTGATGGAAAACAATTTGAAATTAGACAAAAAAAGATATACATATATATATATATATATATATATATATATATATATATACACACGTGGTAAAACAGTAATAACTTGCCTTGGGCAGCAGAGTCAGATGAAGCTAAGATCATAGCAGAGAGCAGAATCAGAGATGTGAAAAAAGAAACCCAGAGAATAATTATTATTATGCATGTTTATGTTCACTAAACATTCAATACCTAAAGCAAGACTGTTACATTATGTCATTTGTTTGTGGAGAGTTTTGTTTGTGAGCCCAAAGCTATGATGCAATACTGGCTAAAATATGACATTGCTTAATAAATGTGCACGATTCACAATAACAGGGCTTTTGACTGGGTCAATACAATTTGTATTAAACTCTAAGAAATGCATTAGACTAATTAATGCCTGTGAGACGCGAAAGAAAATTCATAAAGATTAACATCTTTCTGATTTGCCTGTACTGCAACACTAAAATATATTTTTCTAAATGTCTCATGCTTTTAATATTGCTTTATGTTATGTCACAATGTGGTTGATCGTAAACTAGCCGGAATCACCATCAAACTGGAATGAGCTTTTTAATGAATGAAAAGAATCTCTTAAAGCTTATTGACAAGCCTGACATCAGATGCATCTTCACCACAGTCCATTAAAAAGTATTTTAATATGACTTTTTGTAAATTCGACTCACAAATGTCAGTCTGTCAACACATTTCATAATTTTATAGGGATGCACAGCATAGTGTTGGATAATCTGTAATTATCTTCACAATAAGAGTTGAAAGGAGGGAGCAAGTTCAGGAATATTACTAAATGTCAATGATAAGAGAGGAGAAGTGGAAACAGAAAGGCTAAATGTATAATACACCCAAGAGTCCATTCCAATCAAGAAAGGTCCATTGTCTCTTGTCAATATTGCGGTTACTTATGGAGTACAGCTCACACTGAAGTTACATTTAAACTAAACAGCTTTCTGTTGGTCACCGCAGCGAATCTACACGATCAGCGTGAACATGTTGTGAAATCTGTATGGTGGCGGTACAGGTTAGAGCCCGACCGATAAAGGATTTTGAAGGCCGATAACGATACAAATATTTTTGGGGTTTAAAATCCGATATTCCGATATATCGGCCAATATTTTATTTATTTATTTATTTTTAAACTGGACATGATAGTCACAAATTTTGTTATGCTTATTTGAGTCAAGAGAACTGATGGGGATGATCTTTTAATTGTTATTCAAACAATGTATGTATCGTGACCAACTCAACGAGTGTTGCCAACAGGAACAGTGTAGAGTGCCCTCTGGTGGAAAAACTATACAACTCCAACACTCATGACATGGTTCAAGCGTGTTTAGTCCGTTTTTATTTTATTTTTGAAATAATTCATTTATCGGCCATTATAACGGCCGATACGGATAGTTTGGAAAATGCCTAATATCGGCCGATATATCGGTCTGGCTGTAGTACAGGTGACCCAACCTTTATGATAAAAACACTAAAAGCTGTTGCTTGCGCCTTACCTATAGTTCATGATTACTAAAACGCACTATAGCTCAAAACTAAAGTTTCCTTATTGCCATTTGGTTCCATGAAAACCCTTCAACATCCATGGAAACTCTCCCTTGCACAAAAGCGTCTGTATAGTGAAAAAAAACATGGTTCTTTTAACTCTTTCCTCGCCATTGATGGTAATTTCCATAATTTTGTGAGAAAGACGCTTCCTCGCCATTGACGAAAATGTTCGGCTTTCCGCGTTTTCACTGTTTTATGGTAGGGGCGCTATTACACATCTTCTGAAAGATTACTGAATGTCAGGATCAAAACACAGGCGAAGAAGCAGCAGAAACAAGCAATATCATATGTAAGCAGATGCATATGTAATATAACGCAATCATCAACATTAAACAGTATACACAGTATAAAAAATGCTGGGTTGTTTTAACCTTTAACCTAATTTTGGGTCAAATATAGACAAACCCAAACGTTCAGTTAAAATTGGTAATAACAGATTTAACCTAACGGATGGGTTTGTCCATATTTGACCCAAAGTTGGGTTTAAACAACCCAGTATTTTTGAGAGTGTCTAAATCAAAACTGCCAAACGTTACTGAATGAAATGACCCAGGATGAGCTACAGGACTGTGAAACTGTGGGGGTGTTGATAAGACTCAATCTACTTCCATATATGTTTTGACCATCGTTCTGAATGCCAACCGACCCAAAATGCGTTTTTTTTAAGATTTTTGCTTAAAATTTTGCTTTTTCATGAAACTTACCCAAATTCAAGTGTTAATAAAAAAGTAATGCATGATGCTAGAATAGCAGAGGGTCTAAAAGGAGATGGTCTGTTCTTTTGATATACTCACAAATATACAACAAAATATTCTATGAATCGTTAAAATACGACCATGAATCATTTGTGAAAATGATAAAAAAAAAAAAAAATGCTGGGAAAGTTTTAGGAATAGGAATTAGAGCCAGACTGATTTATCGGCAGGCTGATATTATCGGCCGATATTAGATATTTTCCAAACTATCGGCATCGGCAGTTATAATGGCAGATAAATGAATATTTCAAATATAAAGTAAAAACGGACCAAACACACTTCAACCATGTCATGAGTGTTGGAGTTGTATAGTTTGTCCACCAGAGGGCACTCTACACCATCACTGTTGGCAACACTTGTGTATAATGCGCCACACATCCTGCTGATCCAGGTTGCAGGTAGCTTATAAGGCAATGTAGGGACTAATTCTTATTTTATTTATCAGACCTTTAATATATTTCGATGTTCCTCTGTTCTGTTGTGATAAAATGCATTATCCTATTATTTTAGTTAAAACTCATAAATAACTACAAATAACTAATGTTAGGGAAATCTTTAATGTTTTGTCGCGCGTATCTGGAGAAAATAAAATAAGAAAAATATCGGCCGATATATCGGATTTTAAAACCAACAAATATTTGTATCGGTATCAGCCTTCAAAATACTTTATCGGTGGGGCTCTAATTTATTTACGGGAAAGGTCAAAAGGTCATTTTCTCAAAGAAAGCGGCAATTAAAAAGAGACAGTGAAGGAATTAAATAGGAAATTGATGAAAGAAGAGAGGAAAAATTAAAGAAAGAAGAAAAAGACGAAATAATGAAATTAAGGAAGGAAGGAAAGAAAGAAAGGAATTAAGAGGGAATTAACTTGTGGTTGATGAAAATCAGTCTGACAGTCATCATTACACTCAGCAATGGGTGGCGGGTTTGTTGAAAGAGCTAAAGGATAAATGTTTCACCAGTTAGAGAGCTGTGTGTGAGAGAATGAATCTCATGCACATGTGCTGGTGGTTTCTTGTGGCCTAATTTTGGGTAGGGTGGAGTCTCTCAGAGGACTGAGATGGATTAAATGGATGCTCTCATTTCATAAATGAAGTTTGTTTGGCAAAAGCAGGACGGCAATTCACAGACATGTACAAACACGTATAAACATGAAGCTTTCGATCAGTCTACTGAAGAACTATAGAGCGCAAACACACACACACACACACACACTCCCAGGATAGGAAAGGTCACTGATCAAATTCTCAGTTAAGAACTCAAGGATGCTGCTAATGTGTCATCATGTCATGGCTTTTTCCCCATCCTCTTCCAGCTCTTTCCGATCCCAGCGGACACAGGGAGACTGGAGTGTGATGGAGGGGGCACTTACCCGCCACATAGACTAGGAGGGAAAAAAGGAAGACCAGAACAGTTTCCATGACAACTGCAATGGGAAGAGAGAAAGAGATAAAGAGAGACAGAGACAGAGAGAAATAGTAAATGGACTGAGAATTGGTGTTAGTGGGTTACATGTTTACCACATTCAGAAAGACTGGAAAGATCTCACAGTATTCAGAATCATGATTATGTCCTGTCCTTGAGTGGTATATTGTGCCAGACGGCAGCATCAGGTTAAATTTAGATGCCCTATAGCCTCAAAAATCACAGGTACACATCTTGTGTTTTTTTACATAATGTTCTCAGAGCTCACTGAATAAACCAGGTGTGTGTGAGAGAGAGTGTGTGTGTGTGTGTGTTTATGTCTGGGCTAAAGTTGTTGCATAACAGTTAGTTAGTAATCTAATAGAATAGAAAAGTTATTCTTCATGACCAGAAGTATAACCTTTCTTGAGAGTTGATAAGATCGTATCGGTTCAGTTGACGAACAGATTAGTTGATGTGAAATTAAATCTTTTAAAAGTTATAAATAATTATGTTGTAATTAAATAGCATATATATATATATTAGGGCTGTGCAAAAATTAATTGCGATTAATCGCATCCAAAATAAAAGTCTGTGTTTACATAATATATTTGTGTGTGCTGTATATAATTATTTTGTATATATAAATACCTATGCATGCATGTATATATTTAAGAATTATTTGTGCTTAAATGCTGTATATGTATATAAATACATAATCTATATTATATAAATATAAATATTTTATATACGAATAACACATTTTCTTAAATATATACATGCATGTGTGTGTATTTATATATACAAAATAATTATATACAGCACACACAAATATATTATGTAAACACAGACTTGTATTTTGGATGCGATTAATCGCAATTAATTTTTGCACAGCCCTTATATATATATGCTATTAAACTTTCCAGGTTTATTTAATTAGCATTCTACATAAACAACACATTCTCATGCCAAAAAGTCATATAACTGACGTCTTGGGACGTATTTGGACCATACGTCAATATCCGCCTTTTTAGGGCCCCCTTAAACGTCGATAGATGGCGATCCCGGGCCGCCATACAACTGACGCTTTACCTTTAACGTCAGTTAGGTGACGGGTTAGGTTTAGGTCTGGGGTAGAGTTAGGATCCCATAACCTCATCTACCGACGTTTAAGGGGGCCCTAAAAAGGCGAATATTGACGTATGGTCAAAAGACGTCCCAAAACGTCAGTTATATGACTTTTTGGGATGAGACTGCGTTGACATAAAGTACAGTTGTATATTGTATAGACACTGAATTGTACAATATGACAACATTTAAAAAAGTAAATGCTTTAGAGGCATACAAATATTATTAACATACTATTTAATTAATCTCTTTTATTCAATAAACTTGAATGGATTTATACATCTCTAAAGTTGTTCATGTAGCCTACACTTAACTAATGCTTGTAAGCACATACAAATTTATCAAACTGCCTTAGATCGATATACAGATCGATATATACTCATGTAAAGGTCTACACAAATGCCTTCAAAATGAGCTGTCTCACTGTCTCTTTCTGTTTTTCCTTTTACATTTTTCTGTCAGTGAGTGCTGTACAAACATTTGTTATAGGAGGACAAAGTCATTTGTTCATGTCATGGGTAAGATATTGCTGGATTCTGCCAGCAGTCCAACAATCCCATGACAGCTTTCAACGACCAGATCAGAGTCATTTACTAGGACATTAAGCACTGGAGAGCCATCGACAAGAATATGACACAGGGTAGAGGAGATTAATTGCCCTTGACCACAGAAAGGACATTTATCCAATACTTCTCTGGGTGTTTCAAGAAATGGATTGAGTCACAAGAACAATATTTTCAGAAGGACAGTTCATTAGCCACATCACAACACCGTCATTGAGCACAGCTTTCAAAAATTGTAAAAATCTATGCATCTCTTCAGCGTATGACAGTTCTAGTTCCTTTAATAGACAAGCCGGAAAAAAAAAAATTAATTAGAAAAACAGACAAGGCCAATGATCAGACAAAACAGTCTTCAAGTCATTGTCAGAGAGTAAATTTTTTTAAATATTTGTTCAATCGTGTAACCAAAAAAGAAAAAGGCATGTTTTAAATTCTAAAAATACCAAACGCCCCTTCTGCTTCTCTACCCTTTAAAGCCGATCTTGCCATCGCCACCCTAGTGTTAAGTAGGGCATCATCATCATCTCAAAATGGTGTCATCATCAACCTGTGAAAGGGAACCGGGTCATTCTGAGAAAATGGTGTTGCAGGTATAAGAACTTTAGACATTTTCGAGATACTGAACTATTTCACACTACACTCACTTAACTCGGTTTAGTGTGCAATGCAACACAATAACGACAGTTCAAAAAACAAGTAGCCTCAGCAAATGTCCAAGGAAAACCCAGGGACGTCCCAAAGGCCCTTGCATGTGAAACTTCACAACTACTCACACAACACGGATTATGAATCTATAACTAGTAGGTTAATATTGTTTGTCTTAAATTTTAGACACAGTTCCTTTACTTTGCCCAGCCAAACAGAGTAGCATTTCAACATGAATTAATGTAATAAGTATTATTACATTAATTGTTTGTGTGAATGATTCAATTAATCCTTCAGATCCCATGAATTAATCAGCATTTTGCACAAACTGACTCGCTCATAAAGACATAGTGAAGCTGTGAGATTAATTAGGCTACATATAATAACAGCGACGTTATCACCATGTTGCTGAAAAGTAATGTAGCCTTTCAGTAACACAGTTTTTTTTTTAATAATCATAATAAAATGAATGGGACTGCAGGTAAAACATTTCTGTGCTCCTGAATGTTGTGTGTGCGAAATGTCTTTTGTTATGTGGTTGTGACACTCTTTGTACTTTTTCCAGTTTAATTATTCAAATATTATTCCAAGGTCGTCTTCGACTTTGTGTGCTATCATCCTCACAACAGAGCCATAACAGAAGAACCGACCGCAACCAAAATAATCCAAGTTTGTCTTTTATTATCTTGTTAATCAGTTACTCCCTGTCACCCTGTGCATATGAAGAGTTCAGATGCAAAAGCCTCTGAGTGCCATTTGAAATGTTCTTCTAGAATGATCATTTTTATCAAGCTTGTATATTTAAGTTCAGTAATTTCACTTAATGACAATTAATAGATAATCTTCATTTAAGTGAAATTACTGAGCTTAAATATACAATATAATTAATGTATAATTATGATCTTTTAACATTTTATTGCTAACACTTATGGCATAAATCTTTAATTGGGTTGATATAATCCCTCTATATTTGTGACAATATCTTGCAATTTTGCTTGAGTCACACACAGAGTTCAACATTCAGTATGCAAACCAAAACAGTAGTAACTTTAAAAAAAAAGAAAATAATAATATTTAGATATTACAATTTCATTTGCTGTCTCTTGTCATATATATATATATATATATATAACCCCAATAATGATTGCAAATGAAATTGTAATGGTAAAATAAAGCCAAAAATAGTCAAATAAAAACAATTAATTTATTCATGCTATACGCTTTCTCTGATCACAGATAGAATTAAGTTGACAAATCTTAAATGGATTTAGTATAATAACTTGATGCAATTAAGTTATGCTTACTTAATGAAAATTAAGACAATGAGTTTGCATAATAAAAATAAATAAACTGAACTAATTGGTTTTTGGATAATCTCATGCTTTTCCCCAACTACATCAAGAGACACATGGCTCTCGCTACAACTATATTGATAATGTTAACACAGCTTGGTAAATAGCTCCCTTATCTTGGTCTGAGTCTTATCAGCACGTCAGCCATTCCAAAGGCACTGCTGCCAGCTAATGGACAATACCAATCTAACTGAATTAACAAGGAGCAGGAGTGTTTGCAATGAGCTGATAAAACCAACATGGGTTGTTCTGTTGAACCAGATTAATGTCATTAAGCATCACTGATCTACTCAAACATAAGACAGACTACACCAGGAGTATCACTAAAGGCTATTATTATAAACGTTTCGTCGAGTTGCAACTTTTTAGACTGTAAACAGCAGACAATGTCTGTCAGATCAGATTGATTCCTCTCATCCTGATGGCAGTTGCTAACATTTACACTTGTGTTTCAATATCCGTCACACTAAAAAACGCATTGCACACCCACACAAATTGTGAATTTAACCAACAACACTGGTTATATGGGGTAGTTATTATTGGTAGGGATAAAATTATTATGTTCATTTGATAGAAATATTTATTCATGTCATACTTGGTTAATATTTTTTTAAAATTACGCTAATGCTGATGATGTTTTTATGTTTCTGAAAAAGTACACAATAATATATATATATATAAAATTGTGGTATTTTCTGCTTTACTAGCAGAGACAACGGGAGAATCTATACCTGTATGGCCAAACAAGCAGAAAACGTCTGAAGACAAAGACAAAAAAAAAACAAAAAAAAAAAAACTTCACACTTGTAGTTTGGTCCGCTTGGTTCATTTGGTAATGAGGACTTCCACGTTATTTGTTCTCTCAAGTTACATCGTTACTAAAGGCTAAGCATGAATCATGCAAGTCAGCAGAAGAATCATATCAGAAAGAGCTTTATAGCACAATAATTCTTTCTTGAAAATGAAGCTTCCACTTGACACAAATACACAGCCCGTTCTCATCCCAATGCATCATATACTGACGCTTTTGACAATGCGTATACATCCAACGCACATGGCACCCTTTAGCGTCAATAAGAAATGCAGATATATATGGGCCAGAAGGCGCCCCCTAGTGGTCTAACCCTAACCCAGACCTAAACCTACCCATAACCGAAGCGTGTTATATTGACGCTAAAGGGTGCCATGTGTGTTGGATGTATACGCATTGGCAAAAGAGTCACTACATGACGCCCTAGGATGAGAATGCGTTGAAATACAACAACAATGCACATACTGTGATAATAAAACGAAAGAATAAACTAATAGTGAACTCCTAGATGCCTTCACAAGGCTTTAATTAATGGTAGAGCCATTACTGATAGAGCCAATTCATTTACCCTTTCAAGACGTCAGTCGCTGACCCGTGTTAATCGCCCTCAGAATCAATTTAGACTGTTGTCGGCTACAGATATTTCCGGTATTCTCTGGCTGGACAAAAGGAAGCCAGTCGGTCTATTATGGCTTGCGAACAAGACGAAACATAATTCCCTCCCAATGACAGTCATATGAATTATGGATTTCTATTCTGACAAGTAGCAAATACAAATAAGTACAAAGGATAGATGGATTTTTTTATTAAAAAGAAAATATTATTTATTTCCATTTTAGTTTTGAGTTGTACTCTGCTCAGTGTCCTGCACTGAGCATCCCATTTTGAACAAAAATCATCTTAAAGATATGGCGACAGGTTACAAGTGAAGTGCATAATTGTGGTATTTTTGTTGCACTGATTTCGTCATCAAATACTGCTTCATCATGTAGCAAAGCAGTAGTTACTAGAGCGTATGTTGGATGCTGAGACAATCTGACCTCAATGATATGACTCGCGCTATGAATGAGAGCGAATAATATTATCAACAGAGCCTGTCGCGGGCTGAGAGCTCTCATGACTAGGTGTAAGAGGAGCGCAAGTGTTTACTCGCTTTTAATCTGCCAGAACTGGAGCAGATCCTCTCTCCATCTAATTATCGCTGTTTTATGCACCTTTAGGCCCGCTAAAACACCACATTGGAGAGAACCTTCTCTCGCCAATTAACATCAATAGTATATTTTAGGTATTGAATGTGTTGCTCTGGGAAATATGCTACAATAATAGAGTGTTATATGTGGTGCTTGGAGGTAAGATGGCAGTATCAAGAATTAAAGATCACATAAAACGAAACATATATTCAGAAAAATCAGAAACAGACACATGGCCTTCGAATTATTCAAAGAATTTAAAGATAGAGCATATATGAACAGTTGTTATTTTTCAGTTGGGTGTTTTACATTTCATTATATTGTTTTGTTTATTGTATTATTTACGTTTTATGGGACCTTTCATTTTTTAAGTTGTCATCACACCTCTTTGCAAATATATCACTATTACAGTAGTTTATATGTATATTTTATACTTAATTTGTCTATAAGCTTCCTTGTTCTCCTGGCATTATGTAAGCTGAATTGTTATTATTTGTTTAAATATATTAAAAACACATTACAAAAATGTATAACCACTTTTTCAAAAAATATAATCAAATGTTATGCATTATGTTATGCATCAAATGTTATGTTGACTTTTTCTTTCCTTTTTTTGTTATGTGTATCTATTGTATATTATGCTGTTTTATTATTTTTTATGATGTGAAGCACTTTGGATACGTGACGGCTGTGTAAAGCGCTATAGAAATAAATGTTGATTGATTGATTGATTGATTATGGATTTCTATGAACACGTTCTTTTACATTCTTTTCCTTTTATGGTAAAGTGTAAAGTGACTCAAACTTTTTATTGGCCAACTGTACATTTATATGCACTTATTTATAAACATCCCCCCCCCCCCCCCATTTACATTCAACATTGTTTTCCCATTAAAATTATGACATTACGTACAGTATCATAATTTCATATCTTCATATCCGTATTTGCCGTCTGTTTTAGAATGCTGTGCCTATTTCCCTTTCCTTCACTCCTCCTGTTTAATGTGCAAAATAATATCTGACACCATTGTGATTAGCTAAATTGCATATTTTTCCATTTAGAAATTATGTGATGCAGGGAAGAAAAAAACCCTAAAATGCCTGCTGGGGTGTTGACAGAAAATGATAGGCCTATACAAAAGACAGCAAAACAATATCGAATGCATTGTATATTCTCCCTTTTTGTAAGCTCATATGATTTTTGATTCATACTGTCATATCTGCAACGTCACCCATAATTAGCCTGATCCTGATTACCATAGCCTATTTCAGCAGAATAGATACCATGCAGATTTATTGAAACACATCAAGGATTTCAGTTTATAGGTACAATACAATTTCGCTGAGAACAATAGGTCATCGTTGACTATTTAAGGTGAGACCCTTACGCCTTTGATCAACCACAACGAGCGTAAATTGTATCCATGACAACAAAGCTTTCATTGGCGCGCTGCCAGACGCGGCTCTATCAGGGTGCAAAAATATTGCTATGGCAACTGTATCCGTCAGGTGATTACGATTATTAGTACAGAAAGCTGGCTGTAGTTTTGCAAGAGATAGTGATGGTAACCTAGAAACTAAAAATGATGGCTATCACTGTTTGGCAAAGGGCAGAACATCTGATAAATAGCTGACAGCAGAACAAATCCTTGCCCAGACATTATTTAGCAAGTCATCAAAACCGTATAAATGCAGGGCACAACATGCAATTGTTATAGGATCCAATAAAATTAGATTTTAAGGGTAATATACAGTTAAATTTATGATTCTGTCTCTCTGAAAAGGTGTGTTTTGTGAATGTAGATTATCTGAATTATTACACAACTACTTGCCAAATGAATTGACATGCAATTTTGATTGTTGAGTCGAGATGAAGGTCATTGTTAAGAAATATTTAACCATTGGCCAATCAGAATCAAGTATTCCAGAGAGCGCCGCGTAATAAGCACTTTAACTCTGCGTTCTCGTTTATAATGCATCGATCAGTGGCGAGCTACCTGTTGTGCGCGCAGAGCTCAGTCGTGGTCATCATCACCGGACCCCTCCCAACCTGTGGATTTCCTTCAGCATGCATACTAAAATATCATTTCCCTTTCAGAATTTCATCTCTAATCCGCTCGTGCGCCATCATCATTTCCCCACTCATTTCGGAAGAAGTTGCACAGAAACACACTAGCCCATTTTCATCATTATCATGCAAATAAATAGCTCAGATAATAATTTGCTGCAAACATAACATGAATGATGTATAGAGGTCATGTAAATACTCATTAAACGAGGCAACAACACACAAAGCAATTCGGACACACCCTCGCGAAACAACAACGGTACAGCAATGTGTAGCTATTCAAATATTAATTGAATATCCAAAAATAATTTATTTTTCCTGTGTCTATAAGTCTGTGTCCACTTGCTTAATTATACATTAAAAAAAATTGTGGCTGTTGAAATGCCCACAGTCCATTTATTAAATGTTTACATTACTTAATAGACTGATGATGTAATTGGAGTAAAAGCCAGCAATTACGCATGTCGTTCCCCAAATACCACATTTATAACCAGAAAGCAGCATGCAACAACATAAAGGCTAAAACAAAAGCACACGCCCTCGTTGGAAAAGTGACTTCATACCCTACCTCGTCTCCTTAATTGTAAGTGGATGGGCAACAGTGGGGCAAACGCTGCTTCCAATTTGACAGACACGATCCGCGCGACTGTCGGGTTCTCAAGCCGTTAAGTAATTTGGCGTTTTGAAATGTGACGAAAAGTTGTGGATGGGCAAAAATCCGCTTAAACGAGCATTTAATGTTGTATGGCAGCCAATAAGGTTTTTTCTGACATAAATATACCGACTGTTGGCTTGTGGCTTGTCCCTTGTCTCTTCTCTCGCGCTCTCTCTCGGTTCCCGCCCTGCCACGCGCGCAATGAGAGACACCGCACGCGCTGGTTGGTTGGACTTTATACGCGTATACCGCCATGCAAGTCTTCAGTGCGTATCCAAAAGTCTAAGCATATCATTTCCTCGTGACTCCATGGTTCCATAAAGAACATTTATCATTCATAGAACCTTCACGTTGCACAAAAGGTTCATTAGACGGGAAAAAAGGGTTATTTTTTAGTAACTGTTGACTGAAAGGTTCTGTGCTGTGGGGAACCCAAAATGGTGGTTCTTGGCATGGCTGCAAAACCTTTTAAGAATCTTTAATTTTAAGAGAGTACACAAACATTTCTCATGAAGTTCTTCCAAGAACAAATTATCTTAGCTAGTTACCCATCATTTCATAGCTGTTTACATATAGGCCTACTTGCAGCATCTGCAAAATATTAATTATTTTCACAAAATAAGAGGGATAATACAAAACTCTGGGTTCAAGCCAAATTCCAAGCTCGTAGCCCTATTATAGATAGATTTTACAAGGTGTTTATGGAGAAACATCAGGGACAAAACTGATTCTGCAATAACATTTCTCACTTGGTGGGGTATTCCTCAAAGTCTTAGTCTTAAGACTCAGTCTTGGCAAAAAGGTAATGAAAGGATAGTTAATTAATTCCGTTCATAATGTAAACACATTCACTCGTAATCTTATGCTTAAAGGGTTAGTTCACCAAAAAATGAAATTTCTGTCATTACTACTCTTGAGTCATTCCAAACCCATTACACCATCATTCATCTTCGGAACACAAATGATGAAATCTGCGAAATTTCTGTCCTTCTATTGAAAACTACCACTTTGACGCTTCAAAAAGTCAAACTAATCGATATGATTGGTTTAGTCCACGAGAATTATCCCTTTAATGTGCTGAAAAAAAAAAACAATTATGTTTCTTCTCATCATTAACTCTAAAATGGTTGACAAATATTATCTACTAAACCTTACCTTGCACTCTATCAACTGTGTCACACTTGAAGAATAAAGCTCAAACTGTATCTGCCTTTGGCATGATTTATAAAGAAGCAAAATGAATCAGAGAGAAAAGGACGGAACCTTCACACAGGCTAAAACAACACAATCACAGTTTATCTTAGCTCATAGACACTGATTTTCAAGTAAAATTAACAGCCCTTTGGTTAATAAATACATATTAGTAGAACACTCCCATTATTTTCCTGTAGAATCAGTGCAAGGATACAGATTTAAAGAAAGGCTCAGGTTCAGCGGTGTGCTGTGAACTTACAGTATAAATGCATAGAAAAGAATGAGGAAAGCAACAGAGGTGAACCGCATGCGCTTCAATGCATGCAGCTCTGCTTTCCCAGGTTGAGCTGTTTTATTCTCAGGAGACCGTGGAATCAATTAAGTGTTTTTCTTTGTCCAAATGTGGCTACAATATTGCAATATTGTCCCATGTCAAAGTGCATTACTCTGTCCTTCATTTTTTGTCCTGTGTCCACAGTCATTGTTTAAATTGTCAGGAACAGACAAGCCATGCAGAAGAAAGGCATCAGGGCTTCTCTTGCTGATTTTTAAAATGACAAGATATAGACATGTTAAGAGAATGCACTAAGCATAACGAATGATATTATGATCTACACGGACTCACGTTGGACCATGTTGTCCACCTTACCTGCATCGTGCTGTAGATCCAGGGCACGAGGCTGGTCACTCTGCTATATACTCCTGGTTTTTGTCTTTGTCCACAACCAATTCCCCAACTGGTAATTCCGGCCAGATACCAGCGTTCATTATCTCCCTTACACATCAGTGGACCTCCACTGTCCCCCTGAAACCAACAACAAGGACGGAGAGAATTAAGAGAATGGAACTTCAGACCATTGTGAACAAACAACTGTAACATTTAAAAGATAGTTCACTTTGAAATTAATTTTTGATATGTTTTAGCTTACCTCAAGGGCATCCAAGATGTATTTGTCTTTGTTTCCACAGTAGTTTCAATTTTGATATTTTTAGGTCAAACCATTCTTGTCTATCAGTCATATAATGGAGGTCTATGGTCACCACCTCAAAGAGCATGCAAAGAGAAGTCCAAATTAAAAATGATTTAATGACTTGTAAATGCAAGTACACTGTATTTATAGAGTTTGTATCTCGTCATTAAATCATGTTTAATTTGGACTTCTCTGTGCATGTTCTTCTTTGAGGTGGTGACCATAGACTTGCATTATATGACTCATAGGCACAAACGGTTTGACTTAAATATCAAAATTGAAACTACTGTGGAAACAAAGACACCTACATCTTAGGTAAGCTAAAACATATCAAAGATTAATTTCAAAGTGAACTATATCCCTTTAAAGCCATTATATGTAATGCATTATAAAATTATATTTAATGCATTAATTATGCCTTATAATGAATTATGTGGTTTGATGATCTGTAACCACAGTTATAAAGCATTATTGTTCTGAACTATATGAATACATTTATAATGGATTATACATAAAGCATTTCTAAAACATTTATTAAAACAGTACAATTTAAAACAAAATAAATGCATTTCTTTTAAAATACGGTATATTGCAGCAAATGATTTTGCTGATTTCACTAAATTATTTAATATTATTTCTAAGAAATAAGATAAAATAAGATTATATTTCTTTTCATACAAGTTTTTTTTACAAAACAATAATGTGTGTGACATATAGACCTATTGTAATTTTCATGTGAAATAGTTCCTAAAGCAAATGTCGTCATGCGTCAAGGTTGAATAAAACATATTTGCAGCACTGTGAACAACAACCCAAACACCAGAATAAATCAATGTCATGAGACAAAGAAACACTGGGCGAGACCCGGCCAGTAAATAATGTACAGTATTTGCCTGAGGTCACTCTGTGGTCTAGTATTATGGAGACAAGATTTACCTGACAAGAGTCCCGGCCCCCATTCATATCGCCGGCACACATCATATTCTTAGTGATGGCTCCTCCGTACACCCGACTGTTGTTACACTCAAGTGTGTCTATGACAGTCACTGCCACATCCATAAGAATTGTGGAGCCCAGGGCTGTAGAGTAAAGGAAACACTCACAGTCAAAGGTCCAGGTCGGCTAAAAAGCTTAAAAGACAACACACACACTGTGACGTGGACAAACTTCGAAGCTCAAATCAGCAGTTTGCAAACTGTACAAGCATGAATTTTATAAATAGTATGAATAGGTTATGTTTTACCTAAAATTTTAAGTTCATTAGTCATATCCTCTTTATTCTGAATGATGATTGCTGCTATCATTTAAAAATCGAATAAATAGAATTAAAAATTCGTTGATTCTCATTGTTATCTCCCTGTACCTGCTGCCTCTTGTGTTGTCCCAAAGCCAGATGTCCGGCACTCTAATCCATCAGAAAAGATCTGGTCAAATCTAGGAAGGCAAACTGGCTGTATGGTCTCTGTATGTGAAAGAGAATGTCGAATCATTGTAGAATATTCAGAATATGAATAATACATGGTTCTTTAAGGGTCTCTAAATGGTTTCACTGTAGAAAATGCAGTGCAAACATTTACATTTTTGTGTCAAATACTCCATTAAGTGAATCCAACTCACCGGAGAAAGCAACAGGACTGGTGAGTTTCAATAAGGCGATGTCATAATCATTGGTGTTGCTGTTGTAATTCTCATTCACTATAATCTTCTTCACAAGGAGTGGAGTTTGAGGGGTATTCTGGGAAATAGTCCCAACATAAACACGCCAATTTCCAGGACTCGCCATTGAGCTGAAAAAGAGAAAAAGATTATCACGTTAACATTTCATTCTTCATCAATGATGTAATGACACAAAGCAGCTAGAAAATTATAAACATTTGATAATTGACACGCCAGTTCCTGCAGCTTAACTAACATTGCATTAGCAACAAACATCAAGCTTTGAAACATTTGCAAATCTTTTGTTTGGAATCAGTGGTTCGGAACTTGTTACAGGATTTCAGCCAATGAGGCTTTGTTACGCTATAATGTTCTAAAACTTGAATCATTTGTCGTATCAAGGTGTTGATTTGGTAAATGATCGAGTGTCTAAAGGCCCTTTACACCAAGCATGATTGGCTGATATTACTATAAATCGATCTAAATATAATTTTTTTTCTCCAGCTGATGAATGATTAAAAGCAATGACAGCCAATCAGAATCCAGGAGACGTTAAAGGGTTAGTTCACCCAAAAATGAAAATTAAGTCATTAATTACTCACCCCCATGCTGTACCAACCCCGTAAGACCTTCGTTCGTCTTCGGAACACAAATGAAGATATTTTTGATTAAATTTGAGAGCTGTATAACTACCACATTGGCTCCTAAAGGACTGCTTTTTGACGGCCCAGAAAGTCAATGAAGAAAATGTTTAAATATCCCAAGTGACTACCGTGGCTCAACTATATGTTTATCAAGCGACGCGAATACTTTTTGTGCGAAAAAACAAACAAAAATAACGAGTTTATTCGACTATTTCTTTTCTTCATTGTAGGCCAGAACGAGACTTCCTTAGATTTCCACGACGCATGCGCGAGATTTGCGATCTGCTTACGCCAGTTTACACTACTTCAGATCGCAATTCTCGCGCATGCGTCGTGGAAATCTAAGGAAGTCTCGTTCTGGCCTACAAGGAAGAAAAGAAATAGTCGAATAAACTCGTTATTTTTGTTTGTTTTTTCGCACAAAAAGTATTCGCGTCGCTTGATAAACATATAGTTGAGCCACGGTAGTCACTTGGGATATTTAAACATTTTCTTCATTGACTTTCTGGGCCGTCAAGAGGCAGTCCTTTAGGAGCCAATGTGGTAGTTATACAGCTCTCAAATTTAATCAAAAATATCTTCATTTGTGTTCCGAAGACGAACGAAGGTCTTACGGGGTTGGTACAGCATGGGGGTGAGTAATTAATGACTTAATTTTCATTTTTGGGTGAACTAACCCTTTAAAGAGCTTTGAGATTTTAAAGCAGCAGCTGACAAAACGGCAGCATGTGTTTAGAATAAGCAGAATAATATTTTCCACCATTATAGTTATCGTTCTTAAAGGGTTAGTTCACCCTAAAAATGTAATTCTGTCATTAATTACTCATGTCGTTCCAAACTCGTAAGATTTCCATTTATCTTCGAAACACAAATGAAGATCTTTTTGA